GGGGGGCAAGGCCTCCGGCGACAAACCTTGCCCAACGAAGCTACGTCGCTGGAGGGGAAGCACCGAGAGACGTCTCGGTGTGTACCTGCTTTGAACGCAATGACACCAATGGTCCGCCCTGCTGCTGCTTCTTTGTTTCCATGGTTCTTCTTCATGATACCCTCCCACAAACAGGTTTCCCACTGTTCGTGAGCTGCAGCCGGCCGCTGACCGCAGACTTGCACTCTTGGAAACCATTTTCAACCATACAGTTCGTGCTGACTTATGCACCTTTCCGTTCCATCGCCTTCCTTCCCATCGTGAAATTGTGTTAACGGAATACAAGTGTCAGAGTGTGTGTTTGGTGTTTTTGGATGCTTTTGTTGTGTGTACATGTTGGCAGCTTTAGCACTGCTTCTGGCTTATTGTTCGGTGATTTTTGGTTCGTTCTGCTTCGCTGTTTGTTGGATGTGTCAGCTCGGATCTCCAGCGCTTTGAGGCTCTATGGTTCCATTTTGCGCGGAGACCCAGAGACTGAGCGTGCGCTCAGCACCGTGCAGCACGCTCGCTTCGATGAACGGCACTGGGATCCGACGACGAAGACGGAGCGCAACGCCACTCGCTTGGAAAGGCGAACGGTTTTCTCCGGAGCCGCTGAAAGGGGAATCCAGGAATCCACGAACTGAGCACAGTTCGCAGATGAGCACAGTCACCCAAATGGCAGAGCACAGTTGGGCGGTGAACGCTAAATGGGTTTTGGATGGTTTTGGAGAGAGAAGATCAGAAGGGCCCCAATGGAACAAGCTTCAACTCTAAGCCTTTGTTCTAACAGTCTAGGCCTCCGACTGGCTGAAACAGCATATTCATGTTCACATTTTCTGTGGACTGTCCTGAGGCTTTACACCTCCAATGCCATCTACAAGCAACTCAATAAGGTGTGCTGAAGTTGGACAGGAGAGAAACAATCTCAGATACTTTGGTGTTGTCGCCCCAGCAACACTATTGGTAGGTATCCTCTCAAGGGATCCCAAGGGTGTTGAATCTCGAGATCGAAACTCTTTCGTCCTTTTTTCTCAATCACTCACAGGATTCCGACGACCCATTGGAGGAACTTTCATGACTTTTCGGGGGTTGAGAGATCGAACTGAAGACCCCTTTCCACTACATGGAAAAACATGGAAAGCCTCCTGGATCTCATAGATTTTGTGGGACCACGACTGAATCTCCATGCCGGAACCAGTTGGATTTCCATTGTGTCCTTGGGAGGAAAACGGCCGAGTTCGGACACGTTGAGTTCGGCGCTGGACTTTTGAAGTGTTGGCCTCCTTGAAACCCTTTGGGCCCATTGGCAAGCCATTGGCAATTGCTTGACTGCACTCTCCAGGATAAGGATGATGTTGGTATGGATGACCATGATGCGTTTCACAGTCATAATTCGAACCCATATTGCATTTGTGGCCACCATTTGGCTCAAGGATTTGTGCCCGAGGCGCGGCCACATCACACGGTGTGCTTCTGACACCTTTCCGCTTTTCGCGTCCTTCTCTCAGCCATGCGTGAGGCCATTTGCATTCACATTGGCCAGGCGTGGCATCAACCTTTAAAAAAGTTGAGTTTCGCTTGAAGGTTCTTTAAAGGCATCCTTAGGCCTGCATCAGCCTTTCTCGGGGAAAAAACTAGGCAATCCAAAGTTAAGACTAAACTTTAGAGAGTGTGGCAAGATTAATAGAACACACAACAGCATTTTTCTTACATGAGTTGTTTCATCACATTGTTTTTTGTTTAAAATTGATTACTGTATTAATTACTATATTATCCCGGTCACCTTTAAGAATGGGAGGGGTCAACCCCTCCTAGAAAACGATTTATAGATACCAGGAGGTAGGAGAATAGGAGGGGTTGCCCCTGCCCATGTTACAGAGAAAACCGGCTAAATGTCACGGCCTTGACTCTGCACCGCCTAAATGAGATCTTGGATTTCGCCTTGCGTCGCCAAGTGTCCGTCATTGCCCTGCAAGAGACTCGCCATCCTGAGGGTGGCATGCCCTTTGCCAATCGTGCCGTTGCGCAAATCGGTTGGTCCATCCAATGGTCTTCGCCTACCGGGCTTGATACGGAAGGTAGGCGCCTCCCAGGAGGCACCTGCCTTCTGTGGTCAAAAACTCTTGGTCGGGGCCTTCCTATGTCTTCTGATCCAAGCGTGTGTGCTCGACAGTGGCCACAGTGCTGTGTCGCTTCCGTCTATGGCCCTGCAGGCCAGGCCAATGTCACCTGGCTTGCTCAATCTCTGTTGCCTTTCGAGTCTTTGGACGTCCCTTCGTTCTTAATTGGTGATTTTAATTGGCGTCCTTGCTATGACCACGTTGTCCCTGCCAACTGGTGTTCGTCTGAACCTGTAGTCACCGTCGTTGGTTCTAAAAGGTGTCCCACCCGTGCTGTGTGGCCACCGAAGTGGGTTTTTTCTAGTAAGCCCGAGACCGTGCTCGCCTTGCCTGGAATTCCGCACCATTGTGCAACCTTTTGGTCTATTCCTATTCATCTGATGACTTCCAACCAGGCTATCCGCCGTGTTCGTCGTTGTGCTAATTTCTCGCCTGTACGCCAGCCTACCAATTTGGATATCTTGGGTCTTGAGGAATTTGCGCAGAAATGCTGGGATCAACCGGATCCACTGGAGAATGATTCTTCTGAGGTTTCGATTTGGGATTCTCAGCTTGCTGTTTGGCATGCTGTTGCTGAGAAAACCTTGCATTCCGCGGTTTCTCGCGGCTTGTGTGCCTTGACCCGTCCTGCTGAACGACCCAAAGGGTCGTTTCCTTCTACTAAGCCTTTCGTGGCCAGTTCTGTGTCCAAGGCGGCTGACACCATTCCGCTTCGTCGTTGCAAGCGTTTGCATCGCGCTGCCGCTGAGCAGCTGCGTCGTGGTCATGCAGGTGGTTTGACACCGACTCAGCTCCGTCATTGGTGTGCTGCTTTATCCTCTCGCTTGGTCCCGCATTGCATTACCCGCCTACCTTGTGATCAAGCCGATGCCATTAATCTCGCTAATAGTGCCATTGCTGCCCTGATCAATGAACAGAATAAGCAATCTAAGGAGTCTTGGAGCCAGAAGTTTCGTTCTTGGCAAATTGATTCTATTAAGGCCACTAAACCTGTCTTGTGTCCTAGTGCTGCCCCGTCGCCTGCATCCGCTGATGAGCTTTTGGAAGCGTGGTCACCGCAGCTGATCCACTCTGATCCGGTGGACAGGAGCAGTAATTGGGTTCGTGTTGCCTCTGATGTGGGTCTCCAAGTTGCTTCACCTGGTGCGTGTGACGTGCCCTTTGAGCCGTTCTGCAGTGCCCTTGCGCTCTCCAAAGGGGCTCTTGGCCTTGACGGTTGGACAACCACTGAAGTTCGATTTCTAACTGTTGCGTGTCCCTGGCTTGTTCGTCGGCTCTTTACCATTTTGTGTTCCTTGGTGTCTTGCGCCGGGAATCTTACTCAAGCTGACGTCACTGGTGATTCCTATAGTGCTTTGCAGTCTTTCTTTACTTGGCGCCTGGCTGCTGTTCCCAAGCGTGATAGTGAGGATTCTCGGCCTGTTGCAGTTGGATCTGTCTTACTTCGTGCCTTTCACAAGGTCTTATTACAGTTTCTGCCTCTGGTCCCGGATGGCCAATGGGGAGGCCGCAAAGGGGTTGGGGTGGTTCACGCCACCATTAGTTGGCTTTCTCATCCTGGTACCGTTGGCACAGAGCTTGATCTATCCAAAGCTTTCGACCTCGTCCATTGGGATGTTGCAAAGACCGCCTTATCCAAAGTTACGACTAAACTGTAGAGAGTGTGGCAAGAATTAATAGAACACACAACAGCATTTTTCTTACATGAACTGTTTCATCATTGATTTTGTTTAAAATTGATTACTGTATTAATTGTTTATTATCCCGGTCACCTTTCTGCTTATAGAATGGGAGGGGTCAACCCCTCCTAGAAAACGATTTATAGATACCAGGAGGTAGGAGAATAGGAGGGGTTGCCGCTGCCCATGTTACAGAGAAAACCGGCTGGTTGTTGAGTGTGTGTGTACATGTTTTTGTTTAGTTTTTGTGAGTGAATGTGAACTAGACTCATCCGCTCTTGGTCGAAAGCTTTTGGCAGGGGCCTTTCTGTGTCGTCTGCTCCTAGCGTGTGTGCTCGTCAGTGGCCACAGTGCTGTGTTGCTTCTGTCTATGGCCCTGCAGGCCAGCCCAATGTCACCTGGTTTGCTCAGTCTTATGTTGCCTTTCGAGTCTTTGGGCGTGCCTTCTTTCTTGATTGGTGACTTTAATTGGCGTCCTTGCTACTGTACGTACGACAACGCAATTGGTGTTCATTTGAGCCTGTTGTTGGTTCTAAAGGGCGTCCCACCCGTGCTGTGTGGCCACAGAAGTGGTTATTTTCTAGTAAGCCTGAGACCGTTCTTGCCTTCCCTGGAATTCCGCACCACTGCCACAACTTCCTATTCTGATGACTTCCAACCAGTCTATCCACCGTGTTCGTCGTTGTGCTGAATTCTCGCCTGCACGCCAACCTTCTAAGTTGGATGTCTTAGGTCTTGAGGAGTTTGCTCAGAAAAGCTGGGATCAACCGGATCCCCTGAAGAATGATTGTTGTAATGCCTCTGCATTGGATTCTCAGCTTGCAGCGAGGCCTGCTGTTGCTGTGAAAACTTTGCATTCCGTGGTTTCTCGTGGCTTGTGTGCCTTGACTCGTGCTGCTGAGAGATCTAACGGTTCGCTTCCTTCAACAAAGCCTTTCGTGGCTAGCTCTGTGTCCAAGGCGGCTCACACCCTTCCGCTTCGTCGTTGCAAGCGTTTGCATCGCGCTGCCACTGAGCAGCTTCGTCGTGGTCATGCAGGAGATCTGAGGCCGAGTCAGCAACGTCATTGGTGTGCTGCCTTGTCCTCTCGCCTTGTCCCGCAGTGTGTACACTGCATACCTTGCGATCAAGCCGATGCCATTAATCTCGCTAATAGTGCCATTGCTGCCCTGTTAAAGGAACTTGATAAGCAGTCCAAGGAGTCTCGGAGCCAGAAGTTTCGTTCTTGGCAGACTGATTCCATTAAGACCACTAAAGCAGCGTGGTCACCGCAGCTGGTTCATTCTGATCCGGTGGACAGGAGCAGTAATTGGGTTCGTGTTGCCTCTGACGTTGGTCTCCAAGTTGCATCTCCTTGCGTGCGCGAAGTGCCCTATGAACCGTTTTGCAGTGCCCTTGCAGTCCAAAGGGGCTCCTGGCCTTGACGGTTGGTCCTCCACTGAAGTTCGCTTTCTAGCAGTTGCTTGTCCCTGGCTTGTGTGCCATCTTTTTGCCATCCTGTGTTCTTTGGTGTCCCGCCGGGAAACTGATTCAAGCTGACATAGCTGGTGTTTCACTATAGTGCTTTGCAGTCTTTCGTTACTTGGCGCTTGGCTGCAGTTCCCGAGCGGGATAGTGAGGATTCTCGGCCTGTTGCCGTTGGATCTGTCTTGCTTCGTGCTTTTCACAAGGTCTTGTTGTAGTTTCTGCCCCAGGTCCCGGATGGCCAATTGGGAGGCCGCAGAGGGGTCGGTGTGGTTCACGCCGCAATCAGTTGGCTTTCTCATCCTGGTTCCGTTGGCGCCGAGTTGGATCTTTCAAAGGCATTCGACCTCATAAATTGGAACGTTGCAAAAACCGCCTTTTGCTGGGCGGGGGCTCCTGCTGCTATTGTGAACTTGATTGCCCTGGGATGGCATGAACTTTTTTTTCGGTTTGGCTGCATGTCTTTCTCGTTCCTGGATTCCGACGCGTTCGGATTCCTCAAGGTGATCCTTGCTCACCTTGTGTCCTTGCAAACGTGTTACGCCCCGTGGCACGACTTGCTTCGTGTGCATCATCTCTCCCCGCACGTGGGCATATGTTGATGACCGTTCTCTCCGGCGCCCTGTTTCTGAACCTTTTGTAAGTGCCATCTCTGCGAGCTTGGCCTGCTGGTGATGGCGTCAGCACATTTGTTGAGCATCTTGCTCCCTCCGTCGATCCTCTGTCTGGTGAGATACCATGTCTCCGCAACGGATGGGCTCCTGATACTTGATGTCTCTGCTGGCACGCCTGCCAGGGTGCCTACCTACTCGTGAAGCGGCCGTTCGAATTTTCTTCAAAGGTAAATGGTTTTGTGCCCCTCCGTTTCTGTGTTTTGGGCAGACCGCGTTGATTTCAGTAGTGCTGTGGGTAGTGGTATGTTTTGCCTTCGATTTCAAGAGCCGCCTTCTGATTATTGCCCGTGGCTACTGATCGCGATCTTGACCAGCCAAATCAGCAACTCGCCTCTTGGGATGCTTATCGGGTGACCGTTCGTCTTCGCTCTGTTGGGGATGGCCTTACTCGAGTCCTTGAACCCTATTCCACTTGGTCTGACAATGGTTGGACTTTTACAGTTGACCGGCGCTGCCAATATCAAATGTTTGCTTTCTGTCGAAGGCATCGCTGATGTCGACATTAACGCTGTAGCTTTTATATAAGACTTGGCGAGATTGGAAAGCAAATCTTGAACCGCCTACTAAGAAAAAGCTTTTACTCTCCATGTTTCGAGGTGGTGCGGCCACTTCCCCGACACGTCGCGCTAACATGCGCCCACTGAAGTTGGTCTCACTAATCTGACATCATGGTGTTTCGTTTTGTGCACTGCCGTCTTTCTTTACGTGGCGCTTTGTAGCTATCTGTCCCTGAGCAGGATATAGCGCAGATTCTCGCCCCGTCGCCGTCGGTTCTGTTTTGCTTCGCGCTTTCCACAAAAAGTCTCGCTGCAGTTTCTTCCCCAGCCCCAGGACGGCCAATGATGGGGCCGTTGGCGTTGTTCACGCCACCATCAGTTGGCCTCACCCTCCCTCCATGGGAACTTTCAAAGGCTCTGCCTTGTCGTGGGCTTCGCTTGGACGCTTATCGATCATTGTCTTCTCGAGCTCTCAAGCCCCGAGACCCTTGTAGGTGCTTTCCAGACGGTGCCAGCACAGTTGTTGAGCATCTTACTGTACTCTCTCCGTCGATCCTATTATTATCAGATGTCGTCGCAATGGCTGGGCTCCTTCGCTTGAAGCTTTGCCTTTGCTGGCACGGCTGCTAACTCGTGAAGCTTCAGCTCGGACTTTCTTTAATGTAGGTGAAGGGTTGTAGGCTCTATTCAGTCACTTCTACAGGCTCCTCTTGGACTTTGACTCATCTCTTCGCTTCCTCCGGGAAGGAGCGTGGAGAGTTGCAACCGTTTCAGAGATTTTAGTGTAGCTGCCTTGGTAGCTAGCTTGACCACGTGCTGGACAGCCAGTGCAACGCTTTTCCCGGGACAAACAACCTTCACAATTTACACTGATGTCATTTTAGAAAAATGTTCGACATTTTGTGTCGAAAAGACCGACATGACCGCACATAATCTGGATTCCCTCTCAGGAACACGCAGGCCCCCTCCGCTCACCTTCACCGTCCTGGAATGGTGTCGGCGGATTTGTTGGTGTGTTTTTCGCAATAATACAATGTACAATACCAAATAGCGTATTTATGTTTTGTCAATGTAATTTGTTTTATGTTATGTTAATTTTAGCTTGTTTGGCTTAATAAGTTGGTTGTTGGTGTCGACATGTGTTGTTCTGGATACTTTAGGCATCCATTTGCTACCAACAAAACATGTCCAATACTTCGACCGCAGGGTGGTGTGCAGATTGGAAATGCGTGCTGGGAGCTCTTTTGCTTGGAGCACGGCATCCAACCTGATGGCCAGATGCCTTCCGATAAGACGATCGGGGGCGGAGATGACGCATTCAACACGTTGCCTGGCCGATCTGGTGTTTGAATGTTCCCACGCCAAGGTTGGGCTTAGTAAGGTGGAACCAGAGTTTTCATGGGTTTGCAGATGAACCAGTCCCAACAAACACACTGCCGCACCAGTGCAAGGAGACACAACAAGGACATTTTTTGTTTTCAAATGATCCTTTGTGCGCACTCATTTTGCGCAGGAAATGCTTTGGGGGCCGATGAACTTGGATCCTGCACGCCCAACACCCAACCTTTGATCAGTGCGACCATAACAAAACCATCGTTTTCGTCGCAGGTCCCTGACAACGTTCACGCACTTGTTTGCAACAACAGCAACGTTTGGTTTTCTGAGGCAGCGGTGTGACAGACAAGTTAAACTCACAATACAACAAATATAATGGGGCACCCGGGGTGCATGACCCGTACTGTAGCATGATGAAACCTGGAAATGTGTGTCTTCACGTGCTTGTCATGTGTTTGTCATGATTGTGGTTGTGGTTGTGGTTGTTGTTGTTGTTTTGGACCTTGGTACACTACTTGTTTCAGGTTCTTCTCAGAAACTGGTGCAGGGAAGCACGTATCTTGGCAGCCAGGGTTTTGCAGATGTTGCAACCTTGATATTGAAACCAACAATTTTATGTTATTCTGCTTCATTCTGGTTTTCATTCTGGTGCAAGAGTCGCGTTATTTTTTTTCGTATGTTTTTGTGTGTTTTTTGTTCATTGCATATTCTTGGTGTCATCCCATCGTTGCCAGCTCACTCGGGGGAACCGTGAGGTACCTCGCTGCGTGATGGTTGACCTCGAACCGACAGCAACCAGATCATCATGAAATCAACTCTTTCGGGTGATTTTTTGAGAGCATGTGTTAGTTTTCTCTATAGTTGTTTTGTGCATGTTCTGAGTTTGGTTCTATTGTTTGTCGTAGTTATTAGTTATTAGTTTTTATCGTTTCTTGTGTTGCAATCCCAAGAGTTGTTGGTTGTTTGTCGTGGCAGTGGGCAGGTTGTGGATGAAGTACGCACCGGCACTTATCGTCAGCTCTTCCATCCTGAGCAATTGATTTCCGGCAAGGAAGATGCTGCAAACAATTTCGCTCGTGGCCATTATACCATTGGCAAGGAGATTGTCGCCTAGATGAAAGGGTGCTGGATGTTTGTTTGGTTTGTTTACACAGTCTTGCCGATTTTGCTTTACACATATACCCATTTGTTTGAGAACTTAATTCAGCAAGAATGGCTATAACACGCTTCAGGTGGACCTGGTGCTGGATCGCATTCGAAAGCTTGCTGACAATTGTACAGGCGTCTCATCAGCATTGAACAAACTAATACTCGATCATTCAGACAAACATGACCGCTGTGTAGTGGTTTGGGTTTGGAGTTTAGTGGTTTGGAGTAGCATTCCATTTTGGTGCTCAGTGTTCAACAGAGAAAATAAACATCGTCCAACCAAGGATTGCAAGGATTCTGCGTCTACAATGCTTGTGGAGGTGGTACTGGATCAGGCTTGGGCTGCCTGATGTTGGAGCGCTTGTCTGTTGACTACGGCAAGAAGAGCAAGATTTCTTTCACAGCTGCTGGCTTAAATTTTGGAATCACAGCACTTGTCGATTTGGCAGGGTGTGTGGATTTCAGACAGCGAGATGTATTGCAGCAAGCAAACATCCCTTCCCTTGATTCCATTGCTTACACGGCACCGTCAGTTATAGCATGTTGACACTCAAGCAGGAGGCTTGTGTGAACTAGGTTGGGAACATGAATCTGTAGCCCATCTGATGTTGAAGAAGTCTCACTGGCAACCCTGCGACTCTGCCGCTAATTCATGTGTTTGACAGTGTAAAGCAGAGGCATAGCGCGGCCCAGTGGACACACGTTGTATCCGACCCCCTCAAGTCCTAAAGCGAACGGGGCCTCGCCGGTCGGTCCGACTCAGGTTTGGTGTTGCCCGCAAGTCGCCACAGCTGTGGTGGAGCCCTACAATACCGTGCTGTTTCTCGGTTGAGAAGTCTTCTCCCAATGCGGAGCTGAGCCGTTGATTTGCAAAACTGATAGTACTATCACTACAAAGGATTCAGATAAGCAGACGCACACACACACACAAGTACGTGATGCCAGTCAAAGCAAAGGTCACCATCGACTTGACATGAAAAGTTGCTGAGGTGTGTCCACTCCTTGTTGGAACACACGGATGTGACCATCATGTATGCAACTTGTCTTCATTGTTTGCTGACTCGACCATTGTTTTGTCATTTTCTGTTGCTTGCTTGGTTCATTTGGTTCGCAGTTGGGATGAGTTGGGGTGAATCCATCCAGTAGCATCGCCTGGCGGAAAACACGGCCTCACTGCCTCGAGGACAACGAGGCGCTCTACGATATTTGTCGCAGGAACCTCGACATCGAGCGTCCAACCTACACGAACCTCAACCGCTTGATTGCCCAGATCATCTCCAGCTTGAACCTCGGATCAGCCCAAAAGACGTGTGGATTCTATTATTTTTTTGAGTTGGGGGGTAGATATATATTATATATATAACATATATACAAGCTTTGCTCACTGCATGTGTCAACCCTCAAATTGACGGTTCAGTTATGATGTTTCTCTCCATGAGTGGAACAACCTGTCAAGGGTTTCTATCCTCAACTTATACAACTATGTCTTGCATTGTTTTTCTCCAGTCCTGTGTCTTTCAGGACGGCTTCACTCCGTTTTGATGGCGCTCTCAACGTCGACATCACGGAGTTCCAGACCAATTTGGTTCCTTACCCCAGGATCCACTTCATGCTCACCTCCTACGCTCCAGTCATCTCTGCCGAGAAGGCCTACCACGAGCAGCTGTCCGTGGCGGAGATCACCATGTCAGTGTTCGAACCAGCCTCTATGATGGTGAAATGCGACCCTCGTCATGGCAAGTACATGGCCTGCTGCATGATGTACCGTGGATTCTTGGCGTGCAAGGCATCGTAGGACGGCTTTGGATGTGTCTCCGACCAGACCAAGAAAGGTGCCGGCATGTCTCGAAAAGGTCACTCAAGTTGTTTCAACTGGTTTGCATCACCGGGACAATGTTGATGGATATCAATACCGTCAATACCCTTTTTGCGGGGTTGTCTGGTCGTCAAGGCACGTGGCTGGCCAGCCCCAAGCTGGCCAATTGCAAGGTCCAACCTTTGGGCAGGAGTCTTTGGGCCTTCGTGTGTGTGGATGCTTCGCGCGTTTTACGGATGCCCTTTGTGTCACCTGCCTGAACCAAGGAGATGTGGTGCCGAAGGATGTGAACGCAGCGGTGGCCACCATCAAGACCAAGCGCACCATCCAGTTCGTGGACTGGTGCCCCACTGGCTTCAAGTGCGGCATCAACTACCAACCACCTACTGTGGTGCCTGGCGGAGACTTGGCCAAGGTCATGCGTGCTTGCTGCATGATCTCCAACTCTACTGCATCTTGGCAGCTGAACATGCGCATTAGTATCTCTTCATGTTGCCTGGCAGTTTGTGCAGCTTTTTTACACTGTAGAGAGAGGAATACTAGGAAAACAACAATAGACCGGTTTCGTCCGTTTTCATGTGTTTTCACACAAACTTGCTGCTGCTAGGGGGTGTCCTTTTTTTGGCAGTTGACGTGTTTCTAACTTCAGCACAAAGTTTCAGTTTGCTACTAGTACTTCATACTGAGGCCATTGCCGAAGTCTTCTCCCGCATTGACCACAAGTTTGACTTGATGCACCTCGGCTGTTTCTCCATGCCTTTTGCAAAATTCGCTGGACTCCCAACCAATCGTTGTGAACCAGGTTTTTCTACCAGTGCCATTTAGTCTGTGGATGTCTTCAGAACTGTTTCTGGAAGTCTCTTGCTGATCGGTTAATTACTTACTGTACATAGAATGGTCAAGAGCTAGATGGAAAACCCTGAATGACAATCCCTTAGATTTGGTCCTCAAAGCCGTTGGCTACATGCGATACATGCGTCCGTTGGTCTTTTTCCAGATGTAACTGCACCTCGGCGCACCTCGCCGGCCTTGGGGGGTTCACCAGTCCGAACACCACAAGCGTCCAAATGTTCTCAGTGTGGAGTGAGGGTAGGACGTGTGACAGTGACCCAAGGGGGCCTCATGTTTGGATATGACTGGCAGGACAAAAGTGCCACTTTTTGACACTTGGAACTAGGATGATGGTCCGTGCACAACAGCAAACTTTCCTAACCCCCAACATCAAAGATGCTTGGGGAATCGCAAGAGATCGGAAAAAACCACATCGAAGTGCTTCGATGGGTCCGTCAGCGGCCTGTAGGATTGTTGATTAAGCCCGAGAATCGATCATGAGATGTGGTTCTTTTTCTCTGGGGGAGCACTTGTTCGGGGCTGGAAAGGCTGAGCTGCCCCGGCATTTGGAACACTCTCAAGACAGCTCAGAAGTAGCTATCTTTGGACATTCAGACATTTAGTAAGCAGAAGTAGCCAGCTATCACTTTGTGTGCGATGATACATATTTACACATGTAAACTCTGGCTCCACGCTCATATCCTCCTCACCTGCTATCTTAGCAGCTCATGTCCTCCTCACTCCGACCTCCAAACAAGATCAAATGTAGTGTTATTGTTATGGTTTGGCATGCTTTTGCGATGTTTGCCAGGTACTCCAAGCGCGCCTTCGTGCATCACTACGTGGGCGAAGGCATGGAGGAGGGCGAATTCTCCGAAGCTCGTGAAGACTTGGCAGCTTTGGAGACGCCCGGCGGCCTTGATTTTGATCGGAAGTCCAAATCAAATGTGTTGCTTTCTGAAACCGGAGTCCCTGATAGAAGAAAGAGAACGGCATATGTCGGTTGGCAAGAGGGTCCGTTTAACATGTGACGTGCTGTAGTTTCATGTACCACTTGTTACAGATGCACGTATATACTATATACTATACGGATGATTATAATTGTTTGTTGTAGTGTGACATCTTCCTTAGCTGTTTCATTTCCTCGCTCGCTCGAGGAAAGACTACGAGGAGGTCGGTATTGAAACAGCCGAGGGCCACCGGGACTTGCAGCTCCGCTCCGACGGCGGTCGTAGCCGTAGCCGACGGGAGCCGGTTCTTCTCTCCAGAGATCTCAGAAATGGCTCCTCAACCGACTGTTGTACCACTAGATGCTGGGTAGTGTGAGGAAGATCGTTGGTCACTTGTTTGGGAGTGGTGGCGGCGCACAAAGTACTGTAGTTGATCTAGATGCTTGGAAATGTCTTGCTATGTACCTTGTGACCATTCAAGGTGATCTTGCAGGTTTAAGATTCTTGTGCTACAAGAGAGTTGGGTTTTTGGTGGTTTGCACCACTCAAGCTTGCACCCCGGTGATGTGGGAAATCCTTCCTTTTCGCACTGCAACGCCAAGAGAACACTCGGAACTGTGCCTCATGAGCTCCAGTGACTCCAGTCAAGATTCTGCTTGTAGATCTGTAGATGCGATATGAAGGACACCATCCATGAAGTCGCTGTTTTGCTGCGGTTTGCTTCGCTCTACCTTGCCATGGACATTCACGGATGGATACAAAGCAAGGGAATGCTAGGGGCAAGTTCTGTTTGAACCCTTTAAAGCCTTGACATCCAGATCATCCAGGGACTAGGTGTCCTTGCTTTTTCTTGCTGATCCTGTAGAACGAGCCAACTGCTTAGGTGAAGGTGAAGAAGAAGGCTATGGCGATGAATTCTAATTCGTCTCACGCAGAGTCCGGGAAGAAGAACTTCCCGGACGATCGCTGGCACTACCAGCAGTGGGATCGCGGGGGGAAGAAGAGCTGCGGAACGAGCGCTGGGGACTCGAAGGACCTCCCCAGAACCAATCACACATACTTGATCAATCTTTATCAATCTTGTGAAGATGTCCATCTGTATCCATTTGCATCATGCTTTATGAATCGGTTTTCAATGCTTATGAATCGATGTTCAAGTGCGAATGCTTCATGACCCGGTCAGTGAGTCGGATATGGTTTAGGTGAGTCGGTCTCCACGGTCTCCACACGTTTTCCGTCGGAGTCACGTGGAGTCACGTGAGATCGCCGGTCAGACGCGGTCACCCAGAGTCAGTCACCTCGCTGGCAGTGCTGGATCCTAGATCCAAGAGTTGTTCTTTTGGGGGAACATCTACAGGAAACCCATGTTTTTTTTGGGGGGGATGGTCAAAAACAACATGGTTTCCTGTATAGATGTTCCTTCAAACCATCTCAAACCCATCTCCTGCGATTGGACGTCTCGTTGGGTGGTGGGGTGAGCGATCCAATGATCCTGGTCTCAGGTGCCTGGACCCCCGGGTACGAACCGGTGGACCTTGTACCCAGTCCCTAAACCTGGGCTGCAACCATCTCAGAAGATGGTTAGACTCCCCCCAACCCACCCTGGCAGGGTTAGACTCCCTGGTTAGACTCCAAACCCCACCCTGGTTAGACTCCCCCAACCACACCCTGGCTGTGGTCCCCACAATCCAATCAGTGTTTTGTTTTGTTTGTCTTCTCCGGGTCGAACTTCTCACCGGCTTCTCCACCGGCTTCTCGACCGTCAGGCCCTGCGCGATGAAGACCGCGACCAGGCGAGCTGCGGCGTTGTGCGTTACCGCACTGTGCGCGAGTGAAAGTGATAATGTATAGATATACTGTATATGTATTGGGCATGTGTGATGATATATGATATATATATATATATACATATACGTATTGGATGCATGTGTTTGGGGGAAGGTGTACCCTTTTCAATGGATGTACAGAGTATGAATCCGTATCGCGTTGAACACACACAATTTTATGGGTCGATGTTGAAAAAACAGGACCCGTGTTTGGGAGGTCGCTACATCGGTCCAGTATCCGGGGTCCATAGGAATACAACCTGTGGTATGGATGTGTGTAGCTAGGGAGACCGACCTCCTAGGCGTTCCGACTTTCTGGGAGGTTCGGAACCTAGACCGGTCGACCCAGTCAGGGCGAATGGGATCTCCTTATTCCAAAGACGCACCCAAACCTGGACGCCCATGGCATGGCAGCAAGTTCTATTCAAGAACTTAGGATGTACATGGAGGTTTTCAGAGGTTTTGATATGTTTTGATTCAATATGGCAGTGGAACAAAAACCCCCACCAAACCATGGAAGGTTGATTAGCCCTTAATGGAGGAATGACCAGGTAGCTGGAATCCCACGTTTGTCGACTACCCATGGGCAGTGAACCCCAAGTCCGCCCATCACTCATTCGTCACTTGCCAGCAACTGCTGAGTGGCGTAACGGCGTGAACTCTCAGGAATAAGGGTGGGTTGACCCCCCTACTGCAGATACCTTAGGATCCAGCCACCCTCATGCCTGGCAACTCGTTGCACCCATCAGACTGCAGGCAGGCTCCTATTTCCCATACTTGCGCATGCTCTTTGAGGCTTGCGCCAGGTGCGGCGAGTCAAAGCGCCGGTGGGATGGAGACTGTTCCGTCAGTTTCTGGGGCAGGTCACGGACCGAGCCAACATACGCGAGGTGGTGTATTGACAAATCTTGCGCCTCCTGTCCTACTATACGGACTCCTGGATCAATGAATGTGGACGCTTTAAACAATCAAATGGAGCAGCTTGAACGAAACCCTCCAGTGTTTTCAGACTGAAGCAGCTTCGATTGTGAGCACAAACCGACTTCACGGTGTCATCCACCGTGTCATCCTTTGAGATGAAGGACCCAAGCACCGACGATAGGAAGGAACAACTGCACCATCCGCCTTCAGTCTGGATGCTGCATGCCTTCAGTCTGAATCTTCCACTCAAGTCATCAAGGTGTAGGACATGGTCCCGCAGCCCTTCTGGTCCCGGACGCTGGACTCGGCACCGGAACCAGCACGGGACCCGTCTCGGCACGGTTCCACCGGTCGCAGGCTTCCGATCCGCGAAGTGACGTTGTGGCGTGGGGTCGGCGTGGACCTTTATGAGCAGTACAAGGTTGGGGGCAACTGGTGGGAAGGGGCGACCTGCACCGGACACGGTGCCCAGCCGGAAAGACCGGAACCATGCGAAGGGAAGGACAGAAATGAACCATGCGAAGGGAAGGACAGTCTGATGGTGCCTGATGATTTGGGGGCGAAAGGCTTCTGGGTTTGATGACATCGATGTAAGCTTCTTGTCAGATTCTTGGAAAGTTGTTCGTGGATTTCTGGTGCGGTATGCCACGTTTGGCTAGAAGGATACGAATCATTCATGGAAGAAGTGACGTTGGGTGTTCAGGAAGGATACCGTTGTTTTCTCGGATCCATGACTTGAAGTTCGGATGAAGTTCGCATCCATGGCTTTGTCATGCTTCGGTCACTTCCCCTCAGATCTTTTGGCCTTGGATCTTGACCCACGTGACACACAGAGTGTCCACCATAGATGGCCTTTTACTATTGATTCATACAGAGGATACCCGCTAGTTGGTGTACAACCAATAGGTAAATGGTATACGTACCAAACCGACCCATCTATTCTTCCCAAAAGGACACCACTAGTGTCCACGCACTTCTCCCGCAGCTCGACTCACCGACGGTCAGGGCCGCCCCCGTCCGATCTCCCAGTGACTTCCCGGTCGGCCGGTCGAGCGCTCGCGCTCGCGCAGGTGGGCAGCACCATCACTTGGTGGGGCGTCTCCAGCTGCACCTCCGACAAAGCGGTGGCTTGGGCGGAACGGGTTCAGCGGTTCACGGAACGGAAAAGAACAAAAGAGTGGTGGTGGCTGTTGTTTCCGCGTTTAGTTGCTTTGATTTTGTTTGTTTGCATGTCCGTTGAAGAAAAGCTGCGCAGCTGAATCAGCTGCTTCCTTTGTTTTCCGCTGTTGAAGGTTCTGCACCAATTAGTGCTGCCATGGCGCTTGCTATCCTCTTACTGCTCGCTGCCTGCTACCTGCGAGCGTACCTACGCTCGGGTGTCCCGTGGCTGTCATGTCCGCTTTTTTCCTTGAGTTTCTATCCTCAGCGTTCCTTGGGTTGTTTGTTTGACCTTCCTCAAATCATCAAGGATACTATCCTCAAACAAACAGATCAACAGGGAGTCTCCTAACTTACTATCCTATCAAAGGCTTTGACTGGAAAACCAGCTGCTTCTCGGTTCACACCGCTGCGTCCTTCTCGGTGAACACACCGCCGCTTGCCGCGCCGCTCGCTCCGCTTCCTTAGGTGGCCCACAACTTCGCCAACGGATGTGCCGGAGCGTTGGGATCCCAGGATACGAGAGACGAGCGTGGTGGACGAGGTGCGGGTTTTGCATGCTCCGCAAATGCGACTCATGGGACTGCCATAAGACTGCCGATCAGGCCAGGGGTGGTTGACTGGGGGGTCAATGTCATATATATGGCAGTCCCATGGAGTGTCTGGATACTGATCTTTTGCGGGCTGGAGCATCACAGGATCACGAAGAGATAGGCCGGCATGAGCGGCAGAGTCGTGGTTTGATGGGTGGCGGAGTCAGGATTAAAAGATAGCACAAAGGCTGGTGCGATGCATGTGTTTCTTTAGCATCCTGACAGACAGGCATGGAAGATGAGGATGTCCTCATGTCCTCCATGCGTTCTCAGAGGGTTTGATGTGGATATCCCTAGGGATAGGAAAGCTTCGGTCGAGCCACCCTGGATCCTTAGCGTGAACTCTCTTGATGGGTCATGCAAGTGTCTACCCCAATGCGCTTCGATACCTCGAACCCGGTTGCAGTGTAAATCAGAGGAATGGATGTCAAGACTTCCTTTCCCCCCAGCGTGGTCATGCCGGCGCATGCCCGACTAAAGCTCCCTTCGCCACGGGGCACTGGGCAAGAATTCCCCAAGCATGCCGAAGCTGGAATGCCAAGAGATCCGAATCTCAACACCCAAACCCACACCGACCCCTCGATTTATACGTTTGGCAGTACGTTCGGCGAAACAACACAAATTTCAGTCGTTTGCCGTCAAAAACGCTGTTTCATTTCAATCCAGCCGTTTCGATGTTTTTGCAGAGGTTGCCAAATTAGCAGTCGGCAAAAGTCGCCGTTTGGTCGGGAAAAGTTGCCGTTTCAAAACCTTGACTTACCATAGAAAACATGTCAATGCAAAAAGTGCTTCAGGACAAAATAGTGTGCGTTTGCTTAACAAAAAAACAGTTTTGGATTGAAAAGGCAGAAAAAAAGGCATAGTTTAGCTTGATTTAAAACATATGTGAGGCTTATGTTAGCTGTGCCAGCAACGTGGTGAACACCCTATATTGAACATGCGAGCGCGCAGGTGTGCAGGCTAATGCGCGGGCGAGCACGCGTGCGAGCATGTGAGCGCGCGTGTGAGCGCGCGGGTGAGCACGCAGTGAGTGCACCGGTGATCATATCAGCGTGCGAGTGAGAGCTCTTCTGCGCAGTTTGCTTTGTGAATGAATGTTTAATTTAAGATCATGGACTGTCCGTTCTTTGCATGAGTCAATGAGAGCGTGAGAATGCTGTTGGACACATTGCGTTTCCAAAACCCAAAGACAATGGCAAATCCATGCAAATCCACTTGCAGCCTGATTAGCCTACAACCTACCTCTAAGATCCTCCAAGTGTTGTTCAGAGTGACACCTGCTGTGCAGTTTGCTTATGTTTGCTCGCTTTTTGTTTTTTTGTTTTGGGGGGGGGGGCGACGTCTCAAGGTATGGGAATGAATCGGGATGCCATGAATGATAAGGACACAGACTAGACAAGGTAGCTTTATTTACAGTAGTAGA